GATGAGTGTAGACCGCAGAGTCCTGGCCTGATGATGTTGATCTTCTGTGCTGGGCCATCCTTTTGGCCAGTGGCTGTTTAGTTTCTCCGATGTAAGACTGATCACCCTCCTGACACTGAACAGCATACACAATATTACTCTGTTTGTGCCGGGGGACTGGATCTTTGGGATGAACCAGTCTTTGCCGTAATGTATTTTGGGGTTTAAAAGCCACTGGGACGTTATGTTTAGAAAATAAACGTCTCAGTTTCTCTGATACTCCCTCAACATATGGAATGACCACTGGTCTGGGTCTGGGTTCTTCCTTTTCACCTGATGGCTGACTGGAGTCCTGTTTGGGTTTCTTCTCTGCTTTTAGGAAGGCCCAGTTAGGATATCCACATTGCTCTAGAGCCTGTTTTGTGTAGGATTTCTCCTTCTGCCTGGCTCCTGAGTTAGTGGGGATGCTGTCTGCTCTGTGGTACAGAGTCCTGATGACTCCTAACTTGTGCTCCAAAGGGTGATGGGAGTCAAATTGCAAATACTGGTCTGGGTGGGTGGGTTTGCGGTACACCTCGGTTTGCAAATGTCCTCTATCAGAGACTGAGACCTCACAGTCCAAGAAAGCCAACTTGCCATTTTTTACATCTTCTCGTGTGAACTTGATGTATTTATCCACAGAGTTGATGTGGTCAGTAAAATGTTGGACTTCCTGAGATTTAATTTTAACCCAGGTGTCATCAACATACCTGAACCAATGACTTGGTGGTGTCCCTGAAAAGCACGTCAAGGCTCTCTTTTCTACCTCCTCCATGTACAGGTTGGCAACAATAGGAGAAACTGGAGACCCCATAGCACACCCATGTTTCTGCCTATAATATTGCTCCCCATATGTGAAGTAGGTTGACTGCAGGCACAGTTTCAAGAGTTGACACAGTTGTTCTGTGGAAAGCGTGGTCCTGCTGCTCAGAGTGGTGTCTGATTTTAATTTTAAACTGACCACCTCTACTGCATCATCAACAGGAATGCACGTAAAGAGTGATGTGACATCAAAAGAGACCATTGTTTCATCAGTCTCCATGATGACATCCCTCACCTTGTCCATAAAGTCCATGGTGTTCTGTATGTGGTGTTCTGAGCTGCCAACTAAAGGGATGAGTACAGACGCCAGATATTTGGAAACATTGTAAGTGACATATGAACCTCACATATGAACCTCACATATGAACTTCACATATGAACTTCACATATGAACTTCACATATGAACTTCACATATGAACTTCATACTCCAACTGTAAACAAGTTATGTGTAACAGCCAAAGCTGAAACCTTTATTTCTTTGTTGCCTGAGAGTAAGTCTTGTGCAAAGAGGGTAAAAGCTTCTACAAAGTATGAGGACGATTATGAGCCTGACTTTAGAAAAACTGCTAGTCTCCAAGACCCAAGTGAGTGTGACGAACTGTCTCAGCAACAAACACATTTGTAGCATTATACAGCAACTCATGAAGGTGTTCTTATGAAAATGTCGTGAATGAATAAAAACAGCACTGAACATCAGAACATTTGAAGGTCATGTCAACCCTAAACTTAACCACTATGGGCTGCACTGGTAATAACATGTTGATGAACATGGCATGCAGCTCAGGCCAGGGTCTGTCACATTCTAAACCAACATCTGCTCACAGCTGAAAAAAACATCTGTTTCATTTTCAGCAAGCTCAACTGGATCTGTGTCACAAAGTATTTTTAATATCTTTACAACAGGTGGAGGAGTTCAAGTATTTTGGGGTTTTTGGTCACGAGCGAGGGAAGAATGGAGCGTGAGATTGACAGACAGACGATCCGTTGGGGTGAAGAGGGAGCTGAGCTGTTCACCGGTCAGTCTACATTCCTACCCTCACCTATGATCATGAACTCTGGGTAATGACAGAAAGAATGAGATTGTGGATACAGACGGTTGAAATGAGTTTTCTCTGCAGGGTAGCTGGACTCTCCCTTAGAGACAGGGTGAGAAGTTCAGTTATCAGGAGAGACTCGGAGTAGAACTGCTGCTCCTCCACATTGAGAGGAGCCAGTTGAGGTGGTTTGGGCATCTGGCATGGATGCTTCCTGGGCGCATCCCTAGGGAGGTGCTTCAGGCATGTCTGACTGGGAGAAGACCCAGGACACGCTGGAGAGACTATGTCTCTCGGTTGGTCTGGGAACAAGCTGGAAGAGGTGACTGTGGAGAGAGATGTATGGACCTCCCTGCTCAAGCTGCTGCCCCACAACCTGACTTCAAAACACGTGGAAGATGATGAATGGATGGATGGATGGATGCATGGATGGATGGATGAATGGATGGATGGATGGATGAATGGATGGATGGATGGATGGATGTTTACAATAACTTAATATTTATCATTCATGTTGATTTCATACATTCATGTAAAGCAGCTGTTATAGAGGGAAGGTATATTGTGTCTAACTAGGACCTGAACTCGACCCCATGTCTGTCAATAATTATATTATCAGTCAATATTATTTTACACTGTGTAAATATCACAACAACTGGAGGAAGTAGCAGCTTGTACTATTTAGTAATTTGTATTACAGCAGGCACAATGTAATATAGCAACATATGCCATGGAAGCTACTATCTACTAATTTACAGTGTTTACATCAGCGTTAGTTTTAAACAGTTACATTATTAGCTTATCATGTGGCTGAATCACATTCACATTGAGGTAAACATCAAACCTGCTGCTTTGTGAAAGGAGGCACATTTTCCATTTTTTCTTCTGTTACTACATCTGTAGCACACATAGCTTTCTGGCATCTTTACACTTTTTATATATTATAATATTATTATTATATTACATACAATTTATTATTGTTATTTACATAGTCAGCCAGCCCTGACTCAGGACTATGTAGCCAATATTCACCAAAACGTCATGTGCAGATGTTTGCCCTGTTTGGGTAATGGCCGTCGTTGCTACGGTGCATCACAAGGTCATGTGACCAGTGTCATTGTTTTATCCAACTCTATGACATTAAATTATTAGTGCACTGCACTAATTCAGTTTCTATTAAAAAATACCCTACCTGACAGCAAATGTGCAGAACAAACTCGAACGTTTATAGTGTTCCCTTTAAATTTCTGCTTTATTCGGACCAGACACATACATTTCAATCATTTTTTGAGTAACTTCCCCAAGATTTGTGCATCTTCCTCATGATCTGACCCCATCTACATACTAGTTCACCATTTCTTGATATTTTAACAAAAAATATAATAATACAACACTGATACAGCACGCTCCTTTTAAAACCTGCAATTCCACCAGTATGACCAACTTCTGATTTCACACACCTGAAAACACGTTATACATGCAGCCACTACTTTGTTCTACCTTAACCACCAACGTTGTATTATAGCATTATAAAGCTCTCACCTTTTCACTAGTTTATAGGCCTGGTTTTTATTTAATAAAGTTACATTAGCCTACTTTAAAAAACTGTTTACCAACACTTTATTTAACTTGTTATACCTCAACTTTTCTCATTGACTTTAACCAGTGTTGTAATGTAACAAAGTAGAAATACTTCGTTACTGTACTTAAGTAGAATTATGACATATTTTTACTTTACTTGGTTATTTACATTTCTAGTGATTTTCACTTTTACTTCACTACATTTCCTCAATAAAATGTGTACTTTTACTTCAATACATTTCCCTTAACCATCTTAGTTACTAGTTACTACAATTTAAAATGAGAAGAAATCTGTTCTCCCAGTCTGTGACATCATGCGGCCCCTTCTCTCTCCCTCACTGACACTGTCAATCACAAACCCAGCCTCTCCCGCACCGCTTGTGTGAAACCTGCAGCTCCCACTGTTCACAAGCTGTATGTAGATATCATTCGATACAATAGAGCTTTGTTGACTCACAGTGGAGACACACTCCTGATAGGTGTGAAAATGATGGTAGCTGCTAAAAAGTAGAAGTTTGGTGTTCTCCAGGACATGAACTACTTCAAGAGCATAGTTACTATTAGTTCCTATGCTCTTATATTATCCTATAATATATCCTATATTATTAATTAGTCAGAAAGAAACAAGCCATAACCAGACAGAAGCTAGCTCAGTAAACAAGCCAACTATACAACAAGGGGCTTTCTAACAGCTTTGTTAATAAATAAATAATACTTCATTAAAATCAGACTTTTTAAAGTTCAATCTTTCATTGTTCAGTTCAGACTTTCCAAGAATTTGTCACTGGATATTGCACCCAATAAATGTTGTTTTGGAAATTCTAACCATTTACTTTTACTTAATACTCTTACTTTAAGTACATTTTATAATAGAAATTTACTTTTGATACTTAAGTACATTAAATGTCCGATACTTTAAGACTTTTACTTAAGTATTCATTTTAAAGGAGACTTTAACTTTTACCAAAGTAATTTTATGGTAAGATACTTGTACTTTCACTGAAGTATCACTTTGAGGTACTTTATACAACACCGTCTTTATCTCAGAGTGGATTTGTTGTTCAGAGGACCAAACTCTGCATTTTCCCATTTCACCAATATAAATACACAATATGTACAACTTGTTGTACGTTGCCCATAATGAATGTTAACTGACATTCCTCTCACAACAAGACGTCAGTCCAGAGTCAGCACACTGGTTCTTTTGTTTTGCACACATATTTAAGAGCATTATCTGCAGGGATCATGTCTGACCAGTCCTGGTGGACCACTCTGATCATGCTTGGGTCAAGTTTTTGCCCCAATCTAGTCTCGTGGCTAGCCCCTCAATTTGTTAGTTAAACGTATATGTCAAAAAGCCATGCAACAGGTAGGATAGCATTTGTTCATAATGTGTTCCCTGTTTAAAACATCCAACTACCATTTTTTTAAACCGGTCTGATCAAAGGGAGTTGGCCCCGCCCCTTATCCCTGTCAGCCAATAGAAGCGCTCCGTGGATTATCCGCTGTTATAAAGCCTGCGGAGCCAAGAGACCAACATCAGTCCAACAAGACGAACTAGTCAAACTCTCCCGGCAGGAAAGAACAAAGTTCAAGTGATGGAGCACTCGAAACAGACAAAGTACGGTTCAAACGAGAGGAAAGATGCCGGGGACGGCGGCTCCGTGCTGAACGGGCACTTTGACGGGCTGGTGAAGCGGCAGCCCGGCGGCAGCGGCGGACAGGTGGCCGCCGCGCCGGCAGCGGAGCCCGGCTCGAAGCGAGCGGCCGCCGCGGTGATGGAGAGCTGGAAGGAGGAGCGGACAAGGAGCGTGGAGGACAACGAGATGAGCCTGCCGTCCCTGGCCGCAGCCTACACCACCATCCTGCGGGGGCTGGGGGAGGACCCCGAGCGGCAGGGACTCCTGAAGACCCCATGGAGGGCGGCCACGGCCATGCAGTTCTTCACCAAGGGCTACCAGGAGAAGATCATCGGTGAGTCCAGATCCACAGAGCCAGATGCTAAACAAGCATGAGGGGAACCATGTGGGGCAAGTTTAATTTGAAATTAATAACTTATTGTTCTTATGAGCTTATTGACCTTAAAAATGACTAACTTTACAGATAGTAAACCAAGTCTGCTGTGGTAGTAGCTGAGACTGATCCTCAACACATATGAGCTCACAGAGCTTTGAAATTGTACCATTAACTTTTGAATCAAACTTTCTAATTCAGTCAGTGTTACAGATGTTGGCTGCAGCTGAGAGTCATGACACTAAATGACTACATCATCCACACTAAGTCTTTGTGGACTAGAAAAGTTTAACTCAGACTTCTTTTCTTGTTTCGTAAAGACATTCGTCACGTCTCATGCCATCAGACTGGGTCCTGTTCTTCCAGGTTTGATACCCATGAATGTAAAACTTGAATAAAACTACATTGTGTCATTTTTCATTAGCTTCCCGTGACTCAGATGCAATAATCTATAGCTAATGAACTGAAAGTAGCTTAAAATGGACACACATCAAACGCATGTGGCTGCTTGGAGCTGTTTTTACTGTTAAAGTCTGTCTTTTCTCATGTGAGTCCGTTTTTTATAGTGAATAAATGAATCCAGAATGAATATATATTATTATAAAGCATATCCTGCTAATAAAGTTGAGATTATGATAGATTAAGAGAAGATAGAACTTTATTGATCCCGCAGGAAATTGTTATTATTTTATAAATTATAATTATTCTCATAATTGCACATAAATCTTATTAAAATGTGAACTGCAGGATGATTCTTCTGAATGAAATCATTAAGGTCTTGTTTTTCTCCTGGTTAAGATGTCTTTGCTCATTAACTCATCTGAGTAGAACATATTCAGTCATCTGGAGTTGTGGTACAAATGAAGAATGACGTGAGCATTAGGACATAAATACAATCTGTAGATCTGCCAAATTAAATCTGCCGCTGGTCCGGTTCTCTGAAATGTTTCTGGAGGTTTGAGGGTTTCATGTTTGAACGTTCTTCCACTCGACGCTTTGCTTGTGCTGAGTCACGTTCATTTAGGAGGAACCCTGGGGTCGTCCGGTCCACATGGGCTGGTTCTCCTGTTCTGCGAGGCTCTGGAGTGGCTGGAGTTGGGGATCTGCCCCCTCTAGAGCTGCATCTGGACCTAGTTTTGTTGTCGTGAGGTTTGTTGTGTGCATCATGAGACTGTAAAAAAAGAATGCAGTGAGGGGCACCAGGACAAGAGTGAACATTTGGTTACGCTCCTCTTGGCTCTGGATCAAGGATAATGATGGTGTATACAGCAGAAGTGGAGATATCCCACCTTTCTTCTGATAGGCTCTTCTAGGAACCGCCCACCTGATTGTTGCAAAGCAGGAAGACAATCAAAAACACAGCGAGGGCGATGAATGCAGATTTGAAAGAGAAGTGTTCACATGTTTTGCTCGTGCAGGTCACAGGTTCATCACCTGAGCTTCAAATCCTCTTGTTGTCGACCGCATGACGAGCGGGACCACAGGACCACAGGAGGGGGGTGGGGGGGTCTTAAACAACACACATGATGCCTCTCTTACTGATTATCTACTGATGGACTGCACAAAGGCCTTTGACAAACTGTTGAAAAGTTAATTTTTGATTAGGTAGCTGAGGACAAACAGCCAAGATGAGTTGAACAAAAAGCAATAATTTGTTTGCCAAGTTCTTAAAATTAATAAAGTTTTATGAAAACGGGACGTATTTATATTAGAGAAATTGTTCTAATTGAATTTTTAAACCTTGTTGAATCATCTCAGAAGAGCAATGATCACTCGCTGCCAAAGGATCATGTAAAAATCTCTAATGAGCCACTTGATGGATGCAATGACACATATAAATTATATTTTAAATAACTTATATTTACAGTTGATTAAAATAACACGTCTGCATTGTTTATCTTAACTGACCTTAAAAAGACACAAATGTCTGAAAGACTGTCACTTTTACTGATTCTGAGGTCAAATTAAAAGTGGTAGTAGCTGAGAGTTTTCCTCAACTCATACTCAAAGAGCTGTTGTTTGCTCTGAGCTTTGGTAATAACTGTCTGTTAGCAAAATATTTCATCAACCACTGGCCAGACTTTAATGAAACTTTTCTTTTTATTTAGATCTACAACTGACAGAGTCAGCTCCATTAAAGATGGCTGCCACAGCCAATCAACCTTAGTCAACACAAAAGGCTGTATCCTTATGAAGTTTGTAGTAGTACCTGAGAGTCATCCCCAACACGTAGTTCGAGTGCAAACAGATAGAACGCAGTAAAAACCTCATGTTAGGGCTTTAATAGACCCATAACAGATGTTTGACATGAGTGTCTCCTGAACCAAACTATTCGTGAGGCTCACTTTCATTTCCTGAATCAAATAACACAAATTTTACAATTTGAGTTATTTTTTTTTCTCTAGATAAGTGTTGCATATTTGTTTTGTTGCCGTCTTTACAAAGTTGTGTCTCGTAAAAACAGTTTGATCTAATTAAACCAGAGAAATGGACCCCTACCGCATTCACTCGTAAGAGTATTTTTAGTTTAAGTCTTTAAAACCCCAATCATTACTTACAGAAGATGCATACTAAGTCCAATAAGATTCACCTGTGAGCGATCTAAGACACAAACATAGAACTACCATGTTGGAGGAACTGTACCGTTGCATGAATCGTCTCTGTCTTTAGCGTTTGTATTCATTTCTGATTGATGATGAAGTGTGCAATAATAGACTGGTTATTACTGATGCACATTTTAATTTAGTGTCAAAGTAAATGGATAAATAGTAAATGGACTGTTTTATATAGCGCTTTTTTATCTAGTCAAGATACTCACAACACAATCTGTGCCCTCATTTACCCACAGCACTCTGTGTGATGGTAATGGGAATATGGCCAATTACTGCCTTTGAAATCAAATTTGACTTGACTCTACTAGATCTCTACAAAGATGATCTGAATCTGTAGAGACTAATCACAGCTTTAGATCACATTCATACACCGATGGGACACATATCAGAGACAAAGAGGGGTTCAGTGTCTTGCCCAGGGACACTTCAGCGTGTGACTGCTGGTGGAATCGAACCCGCAACTCTCCCATTGAAGGACAACTGCTCTAACCACTCAGCCACAAAAGTAGAAAATAGAAAATGAAGAAAAAAGAACCTAAAGTAACAAGTTTAAAATGTTTTTTTAAGCATTTATTTCAATAATTATTTCATTTATTGAAAATGTAACTTCACAATACCATGTTTGTCTACCGACTGTGATAAAAATTAAATTCAACAATAGTTTGGGATCAAAAAGTTTTGAATGCTATGAAAGGAGTGATTCTACGTTGGTGGAATCAACATCTTTACATTTTGAATTTATGAGAGGAGTTTCTTCTCTGGTAAGTTTCTTAAAATTCATCCTTTGGAAGACGTAACAGTGTTTGAGCATTCAGTCCACAACGTGGCGTCAAACTAAACGTAGCAATCAGTGAACCAACAACAATCAAAATGGAACAACTTGCACTTCAGTCCACGCTGGACAATCTCTTTAGGGATTGGAGCACAACAAGGTTAGGGGTTAGGAATCATGCATATTGATGATGTTAATATTTGTTATCATTAGTTCATCTCACCCCCAGAGTTCAAGGTTGAAAACAAACTGTAGACAAAACAAACTTGTCTAAAGTGTTGAAATGAGTGGAGATCATTTGACTTCTTCTTATTTCTTAATATACCGAAGATATAAAGAAACAAGACCGATAGAGAGGAGGTACCCCAAAGCAAAGGCCTCAAGCACAGAGTCCACAGTCGACCAAGCATAGGACAAGGTCATTGGAATTCTGTTTGGAGATTTGCTTTTTCTGAGAACCTCATCAATAGGAGCTGTATTAATGGTTTTTGCACCTTTGTACTGGATTTGCTCAACTGTAGTTGAGTCCAGTTTGAGGGAGTATGTATTAAAAACATAGGAACGTCTGTGTCGCAGTAATTCTGTTCTGGTTCAGTATCATTAAGGAGCCCTCGCTGATGTAGACAATATTTCTAGGGGTTTTCCCTAAGAATTTTAGTTTTCTTTGCTGTAGATTTAGTTGTCTTTTGGAGTTCCCTCACATGGCGTGTGGTAGTAGCTGAGCTACCAGAAGAAACTAAATTAAATAGTGTACCAAGGGCAGTAGCAGCTGCAAATGCAGACTGAACTTGGTAAAAAGGCCTTTTCCTTCTCTGCTCCTGTAACCTGGAACACCTTGCAACAGGAACTGAAGTTGTCCACCTTAATTTATTTAGGGGATTTTAAACTTGTATAAATAAAAGTTGAATGAATGAAAAACTAAATATTTCTTCTTGGAAACCATTTGGGGCAGCACGGTGGCGCAACTGGTAGAGCTGCTGCCTCTCAGCGAGCAGGTCCTTGGTTCAAACCCCGGTCCAGGGGCCTTTCTGGGTGGAGTTTGCATGTTCTCTCCGTGCATGCGTGGGTTTTCTCCGGGTACTCCGGTTTCCTCCCACAGACCAAAAACATGCATGTTAGGCTGATTGGTAACTCTAAATTGCCCCTAGGTGTGAGTGAGAGAGTGAATGATTGTTTGTCTCGTTTGTCTCTACGTGGCCCTGTGATGGACTGGAGACCTGTCCAGGGTGTCCCCCGCCCCTCGCACAGTGATTGCTGGACATGGGCACCAGCGACCCCCGTGACCCAAAATGGAATAAACGGGTAAAGATAATGGATGGATGGAAACCATTTGCTATTTTTGGCACCAACAAATTCAAATTAGGGTTACTGTGAATTTCTGCAATTGCTCTAGCTAAGTGAGATGTCTAGTTCTGCATGTCAGATGATTTCATTAATTCATCTGCAGCCTTCTGCAGGAGTGATGTTGTTGATCGTGGATGGTGGTGGACTGTCTCAGGGTCAAATACTACAACTAGTCTTTGAGTGCGTAAGCAACAGTCGATGAGTAGCAGACCTGGTTGATCCTTAAGAATGAT